ACGTAAAAATTCTCTAATTAGTCTGGAAACGGGGGACCTAATTCTTGCATTCTGTGAAAACGGGTAAGATTAGCTATAATGTAATTATCTTAATCTTCACTATCGTTACTTTTTGCCCAGCGAAGCGGGTCCTTGCAACTAGATTCTAGATTACTTAGAAAAACAGTCTTTTATATATATAAAAAAAACTATACTATTACATACAAATAAAAACCCAGCGAAGCGGGATCTTGCAGCTAGTAGAATATAATTTTAGGTTTGTTATTAAGATGATATGGGTGTTGGATACCCAACACCCATATCACTTCCATAAGTGCTGTATAGATTACGCGTACACTTTATTGCATAATTGTACTGAAGGTATTATAAAAAAGAAATTTTAAAAGAAATATTGTAATAAAAAATAAAATAGGATAAAATTTTGCTATTTGCAATTATGTCTTAGTATAACTCTAGTACTTATTGCCCATAAAAGTGTCATTTGGTACTACAACAACGAATTGCTAAATTTAGTTAATACAGTATTTAGTTAATTACAGTATTGTAATTAACTAAATACTGTATTAATAGTAAATTTAGTTAATTTTACTATTTACTATTAAAATTTACTATTTTACAGTAAAATTTAGTTAATTACAGTATTGTACTAATATAGTACAATACTGTAAGTTAATAATAAATACAGTACTAATGTTAGTTAATACTATAGTTATAATACTACAGTAACAAGTAAGTTGATCTATAAATAAATGAAAAATAGAACATAGAAAATAATATTTAGTAATAAATTAATGTAAACATTTAAAACACATTCTATAAGTACAAAAGAAAACTTACCATTGTCAAGTGTGTTAGCTGTTTGTGTTTTGTTGTACTAATTAATCGATGACTAAGCACCTTAAAAATTTCCTGGTAATTCCAGAAATATATTCATATATAGTGGAATTATACGCTAGAAAAATAAATATATAATATAAAATTTTATTCACAATAATTTGCATATCGTTATGAAAGATATTTTAAAAAATTGCNATTCGGAATACTCTAAAGGAGTTTTTTTCACGAATAAGGGACATGTACAGTACCTTTCAGTTAGGGATTGTTAATCGAGGAACCCTACCAAATTCATGAAGATATTAAAATTTTAGAATATTTAGATGGTTAGTATTGTAATATTTAATTATTTTGATTGAAATGTATATTTTTGATAATTGTATCAGTCTTGTTATATCTTTAAAAAATTTTTACTGCTTTGTTTCCTTTTCCTGTATGTATAATTAAGATAGTTTTATTATACATAGAGGAATCTCTAAAATATGTATATTTGAATATATGTACTAATGATGTATATACTTATATTCAAATACTGTCTGTATATTCATGAATGTGGTTTACCAAATCAAACAAAACAACAGTTCTTGGAGTGTTCAAATTTATTCATATTTGGCTAAAAATTCCAAAATAGATATTTTAAACTCTTTTTTTTTTCGTTTGGATTCATTTTTCTCATTAATTCTGATATATTTGCAGAAATTGATTCTACAAAAATGTCGTCACTATTGCGGTTCTGAATGTTCGTTAGAAAGGGTTGAACAGCTGATAAAGTATTTAGTATGCTTGTCTCTAGTTCAACTTTATCAGTTTCTGTTCTTTTTTTTTTCTTTTGGTATTTGTCAGGTGAGTTGATCTGTCACCGACAGAAGTTGATGGATCATCACAAAAGTCTTACTGTTCACTCTCCGATACATCTCTGGTTAATGTATCAAGTGTATTCCATGGGAATGTGTCTGCATCCCCATAGAGTACACTTGTATACTCTCATGGATGCTTCAAGATCGATCAACGGTGCATAATTACATCGAGTCCTGAAAGCCAAAAAAACTATTTGAGAATACTGTGCAATATCATAAAGCAGTGTTTCTCAACCTGCGGTCCACAGACCACATCTAGTCAGCAATGATGGAGCAGGTGGTTCGCAGGCAGACATAAAGTAATAAAAGATTAAAACTTTGTTAAATGATGATTCACTTTTAATAGTTTACTTCTAATTTAATTAATTGTTTCTATGTGTATTTAAAGCATGATTTTAGATTTATTATGTTCTAAATTGGACAGTATGTCCCAAATGATGGTAACACCTATACAGGTTTAAAAAATTGAGGCCAATATAACTTTTTCTGATATCTATAGGTTGAGAAACACTGTAGTAAATGCTTCAAAATATAGTCAACTACAGCATACTTACTTGCGACGTTTTACAATATTCTTTAAAAACATCATTGATTGGTATAAAGGCCATACAGGCTGCGATGCTTTCTCGCTCCCACATGGAGTAAATCGGCGATCTTCTTTTCCGAAGCGTTCTCGTAACAGTTTCCACCTCGCCTAGGCTTCAGAGAAACTGAAAAATGCTGTATTTTCAAATACCTGCACGTACCGTACAGTACATATCTACTCTGTATACATTTTGGCGACTACATACCTGTCAATTGCCACGGTCTTCCATGAATTACTTATTTTTTTAATGTCTTTAAAGTCTGTATGACTTTTATCATAAATAAATGGAAATTCTTGTATGACTTGGATTAATAAATCATCACCTTAAGTACTCTCCAGTCTTCCCCATCGTAGTAAAAGCAGTCCATTGTGAACATGGGCAAAATCATTTGTAGTAATTGCCAGATCTAACACTATAATTCCGTATCCGTAAGGGCTTTTCCGTACCCTTACGGATAAGGAAAAGCCCTTACGGTAGTTTATACCTATTGCTATAGATATCCAGTGTAGCAAACATATACGGATACGGATACGATTACGTTACGGAGTGTATAACTCGACCCTCCCTAACTGTTTGTTAGAAACGATAAGATTTTAGATTAAAATCATGATTTTTTTTTTAATTAGCACTCATTAAGCCGATATAATTTATGATTAACAAGAATATAACACCACCAGAAAGTTTGTTCTTTCAATAATTAAGTGTTTAATGAGTAAAAGAAAATGATTTATATAAATAAGCTCACCTTCATTTCACAACAGTTATTTAATAAGGACTGACTTCTTTGCTCCTCCATTGTTTTAAACTCGGTTATAAGACTTACACGGGGATATTTGTAGCATAAACTGATTGGGATTATAAAGTATCTAATTTTCTTCAGATTACCTTAATATTAATAGAATATTTATGATGATTTTTAAAGCTGGGGGAAAAAGCTACGTCCGGAACAATACTTCCCCGAAGAACAAAGCTTGCTGACGTTATTTGATGACGACAGCACAAATATAATCGCATTTCATCAGTGAATCGGACATGCGCTTAGAAGTAGGAATGGATGAATCATCAGGGTAAAAGGGTTGCGGATGTCACGTGACTTTGACGTTAATGTGTGGTTGTCACAATGATTTAATTTAAATTATATGCTCGCTACCTCAAATTAGTAGTGGTTTGCTCCTATACGTTATACTTGTCCTGTTAGCAATAGAGTCATGCCGGTCATCTATTAACTCCTTTCAGGGGAATGTTTTGAATTGAAATAACGTGAATTTCGGTTTGCATTGGAAATTTATATTTATATATAGTTAATATGGGTTTCTTGCCCTAAAGGTTTCCATGTCTGGTCTCGTCTTTCATCTATCTAACTCCGTTCTCGAGATTAAGGAATGACGGACGTCATTGAGAAATTATAGGTCTACAGGTCTACAATATTTTTAAATTGCAGCCCAACAAATAATATTCTATTGAGTAAAAGCCTCAACACAAGGAGCAAACATGTTCCAATCCATTAATCCCATTTCTATGTCCCACTTTAATGGTACTATCTGCATAAAATCTTGTAACGCAATTTTTTCACCCTTCCCAACCCCTTAAATATTTCTTTTATTGTTGATAATTAATATTTATATCGAAATAAAGCGCGAATCCGATATTAAAATAAATTAGAACGTAAAAATTACCGCGAAAAAAAATACCACCCAAAGACGGTTTTTGGAAGAACACTATTAAAAATATTAAAGAATTAAAATAAATGCTTTTAGTTAAAAATATATATAGCTGCAGGGATACTAAATACGTATTTTTCTTTCATTTATCGCAACCCGCAAAGAGACACGTGCAGTTTACACTGTTTACTACTATTTGACCTTGAGAACAGCTGTTGTTCAACGTTCGCGGAATGTTATTATGAACGCTTCAGGGAAAGTCTAGGTCCTAGCAGACTGAGTACAAGCTACTGTAAATACTCAAATATTTTACGAGATTTTCGGTCATTTGTGCTAATTATATATATAAGGGAACTTGTAATTAGTAAAATCCTGGTATTATCGAATGTTTTATTTTCAATTATTTTAAATTTAAAAAAATGACCTATTAAAAGCATAATCGAGACCAGATATGCAAAGCTTAGTGGCCGGAAATCCTGATTAACTATATACGAATTTCCGGTGTGGTCTAAAGTCACGTGATTTTTTTAAATTAATAAACAAAGTCCAAGTAGACAATGTATACCCTTAATGATTAACTTAATGCTAATAAAAATATATAGATCTGATTTCTAACGCTAATAATTTCAATTTTTAACTGAATATTGTGTTAATATTATACAATATATGATAAATTACTTTATCTGAAACACCAATTTTCTAAAAAAACGTTTCAAGTATAAATAATTAAAAAAATTACTATAAAAATAATGATCACAAGAAATTCGCAGTTATTTTAATTAATTAATTTCCTATCATCTACATCATATTTCGTGATATGCCACTTGTCTGATAATCGCTGTTATAGTTTATCTGTGAAGATGGCGTATGATCCATCATAACGTCGTCTATAAGTTTCTTATAAACTTCAGGCAATTTTATATTATTCATGTCAATAGAACTTTTCAATTCTAAAATCATTTCTCTAATAGTGTTAATGTCTTTTTCTAACTTGATATTTGTTTCTTTTAATTCACAGATTTCATCCACAATGTCTTTTCTTCGAGTTTCCAGATTTTCCTTCAATTCCATTCTCTTATTTCTACAACTTGCCGCATATCCACGATTTTTCAAAGTTCTTCTGCGTTGTTTTAGTTTCTTGATGACTTGTTTACTAAATTCACCAGTTTTCAACCGTTTGTTCAGTTCTTTAACAGGTAACGAAGTTAATTCATTGTCTGGAATCGATTTGACTCCATCGTCGTGTAGTCTACCCAGTGCGTTGCGGCTGTTACTTGCCTAAAAGAAGAAAAAAAAACTAATTTAAATAATTAACAAAATAATATACTCGAATGCATCAGTGATTATCATATTCCGATTTACAGTAATTTGCAATTACAGTGATGTACAGATTCAGATTCATTTTATTAATAAAATACTGAGTTACAGTACATACCTGGTGCCATAGACATATAACCAGGTGCAGACAAGATCATATTGGCATTATTACAGATCATTAACATTAGAGGTTACAGTAACATTACATGTGTAATATATACAAAAGATGGGGCTAAAAAAACAAGTTGTATGATACAGAAAACATATGCATTAAAATATTATACAACAGAGAATCACAGAATACAGGATGTAAATAACAAAATACAATATATTATAGAATAATAATGCAGACAAAACAGTGATGTACAGTAGATTCCCCCCTATAACACTGTAGATAATTCCGTGTTATATGAATTCCATGTTGTACGAGTCACTTAGATTTTACAAATACGTGTGCCGGGCTGTGAACGGTTCACGTATTTGTAAAGTCTAAGTGACTCGTATAACATGGAATTCATATAACACGGAATTATCTACAGTGTTATAGGGGATCTACCCCTATAACACTGTAGATAATTCCTTGTTATATGAATTCCATGACTACTTTAATTTACATGTCTACTGTAATTGTAATAACGAGTAAAATCTTTGTTAAGTACGACTCCACTCGAGATTTGATAGACGATCCCTTCGTTTTCTCACTCCCCCGACTTTTAAATCAGCAAAATTTAATAGAATTAATCCCCTAATACATAAACCCCCTACAAAATTTCAGAAATTTTCGACAAAAGGCTTTCTACATATTATGTTTTGGTAGCTTTTCTGGCTTTCTTTAAGGTTCTAAAGTTATCGGAAACTCTAAAATATTTGGAGAACTTGATCTTTTAATAAGGAAGAATCATTATTATATTATATATAATCCGCATATACTCTTATGGTATCAGTAATGTAATACGTTAATCATTTCACTCCACAGAAATAAGTATTCAATAACAAGTTATCGAAAAGCAAAACTGTCGTTGAATGAAGTTTTGCATTATTAAAAGAAAGTTCTACATGTTAAATATTTTAATACAAAGTGACACATACGTGATACCTTTGTATATAGAATGATCAATCATAATTATAGTAGATATTCATAATTCTCTATAAAAAGAATTTTTGTGCAAATAGCCAAATCGGGTGTAGGTTACGAGATGTTTTTTTAGAGTGTGGTTTCGATTTTCGAAAAAAAAAATAATCGCTAGGACGAAATTTGGCGATGATGTTCCCTTAAAACTGTATATATTTTATGATTTATAATGAATTTTGAGTAAGAAAGAAGTCACCAAACGTTCTGCGATAGTTAATTAAATAGTCATAGTGATGACTTTGCCTTTATGCAAGATGATGAACACTCCACATTGTGTACGTTGAACTAATTTTTAAAACTAGAATTACTTATAAAATTACTAATAAATAATAACTACAAATATTTGAAAATTAAATTATCTTAAAAATAAAATTTAAACAAAATATGTATTTTGTTTTTTTTTCCATTTAAAGTAAACAATTACATCAGCAAAAATATTTAAGTTGTAAATTGTTTTTTTTATTAGCAATTAAAATAAGTAAGTATCAAGATGGCGTAAACAAAAATTACACGATTATAGTACTTCATGATTATCTCACAATTTTATATGCAGGAAGATAAAGGTAGTCCTCAGTTAACGCTCATTATTACTTTAACAGTTACCGAAAAAAAAGGGACACAATAGCACCCAATGGCACTCTACACTGTGGTTTTTCAATCTGACTCGACCAGCTTTCTATTTGTTTTGTAGTATTTATTGAAGTCTGTTTCATCTATTGGTATACTTATTTTTAACCGATTTAATTCTTCTTTATCATCATCATTAAGAATGGCAAACACATGATGATTGATGAATCGTTATTTAGCACATAGATGAAGAAGGTTGAAGTGTTTTGAGATGATACAAGTACACGTAGATAGACTAGTAAATCATCGTGAGTTGACAAGAAATGCCAAAGAAATTTTGAAATGTGAAGATCAGGATTCGGAATCGTATTCAGCTTTTAATATTCTTATAGGATATAGATTTTTGCTTAACACAACTTCAAGGAGTGTTTTTATTTCGTTAACTGACGACTACCTTTTATTCATTTAAATAATAATACTATTATTATATGATTAATAATAATATTATTATTGGCATTATCAAAGTTCGGTGCTTATAACCATTAAGCTTATTTTTATTAGAAATGTTTATTATTTCATTGTAATCGTACAAGTACTGCTAAATATAAGTAAGTATAACATTTCCATCTTATTGTTATCACGATTTATATTTATAATATATAAGTAAATAATAATTTCCGTCTTATTGTTATCATGATTTATATTGTATATATTCACATGTAATTCTTTTTGGAAGATCCTATTATTACATATTGAATACAGAATCACATACACAAAGTTCATGACTAAGAAAATAATATTATTTTCTTATTATATTTTATAAATTACGTCACTCGTTACACTGCTAAAAGGTGACTTATTTTAAAAAATTACTAACAAATTTATCGAGAAATTCGCTTTGAAATTTGACGGGACATTTTGAGAAGCGCAAAATGAAGTATGGTATGTGTTGACATTTCCCTTTATTTTTCTATCTTGCCTTAATTTCTTTTACTACATAAAAATGGCGAAACATAATCTTACAACATATCTCTACAGAAAATTAAGTGTTTTACAAATCAGTAGATTATCCAGGGAGGGATCATCAAGTGTAAAAAAAACGCACTTATAAACATATACAGTAAAATCTGTGTAAACTGGAATCATGCAGTAGGCCTATTGAATATATATTTCTTTTCATTTAGGTATGTTTTCGTTTTTATTAAATATAAATAAATGTATGTCATAACATTAAAATTGTCTAGGAAAGAAGTCGACAGAAACGATTAAAGAGTTTGAAAGAAATTTAATATAAGTTAAGTTATTTAGTTTTAATCCCTTGCAGCCCACCAGTGGCCGAATGGATAATTCTACGAACAATGGGTTGGTGCTGGCCACGTAGAGTTTTGCAGGATTCCTTTACGTTTGTAACACCTAAATAGGGGCCAGTTTTCCTAAATGTCCTGCTGGGAGCATCGCCCACGTGTCGCATTGCTGTGACCAAACAAATTTCTAGAATGTTTTGTATACATCTAGAAAGAAACTGTTCCATACTCCATAACTACGATCTTTCTTCTTGAACAACCCACAGTCACGTTGTATAAGTAAGCGATTGATAACAGAGTACAGTATTATTATTATTTTTTATCATAAAAAATTTAATAATTGACTGATATTGAATTATTCATTAATCTTTATCTATATATATATATAAATGAACATGTATGTCCCTATATCTCACGTTTTCGCCAAAACTACACATCGCACGTGAATGGTGTTCGTATGTAGTAGTAGCCCCAAGTCTCCATTCGTGCATAGGGGTGGTTGCGTCTCGATAGCTATAAGGGTGCGGGAGATATGAGGCTAAAAGTAGTTGAAAGTGGCTTTCTATTTCGAATGTTTTGTTCGATTTTTTCGAATTTGTTCGAATTAAATTCGAACATAAAATTCGAATTGGTTCGATTATAGAACGATTGAAAACGTTTCAGAAACGTTGAAATTTGTTCGTTTGACTAAACGTAAAAATTCTCTAATTAGTCTGGAAACGGGGGACCTAATTCTTGCATTCTGTGAAAACGGGTAAGATTAGCTATAATGTAATTATCTTAATCTTCACTATCGTTACTTTTTGCCCAGCGAAGCGGGTCCTTGCAGCTAGATTCTAGATTACTTAGAAAAACAGTCTTTTATATATATAAAAAAAAACTATACTATTACATACAAATAAAAACCCAGCGAAGCGGGATCTTGCAGCTAGTAGAATATAATTTTAGGTTTGTTATTAAGATGATATGGGTGTTGGATACCCAACACCCATATCACTTCCATAAGTGCTGTATAGATTACGCGTACACTTTATTGCATAATTGTACTGAAGGTATTATAAAAAAGAAATTTTAAAAGAAATATTGTAATAAAAAATAAAATAGGATAAAATTTTGCTATTTGCAATTATGTCTTAGTATAACTCTAGTACTTATTGCCCATAAAAGTGTCATTTGGTACTACAACAACGAATTGCTAAATTTAGTTAATACAGTATTTAGTTAATTACAGTATTGTAATTAACTAAATACTGTATTAATAGTAAATTTAGTTAATTTTACTATTTACTATTAAAATTTACTATTTTACAGTAAAATTTAGTTAATTACAGTATTGTACTAATATAGTACAATACTGTAAGTTAATAATAAATACAGTACTAATGTTAGTTAATACTATAGTTATAATACTACAGTAACAAGTAAGTTGATCTATAAATAAATGAAAAATAGAACATAGAAAATAATATTTAGTAATAAATTAATGTAAACATTTAAAACACATTCTATAAGTACAAAAGAAAACTTACCATTGTCAAGTGTGTTAGCTGTTTGTGTTTTGTTGTACTAATTAATCGATGACTAAGCACCTTAAAAATTTCCTGGTAATTCCAGAAATATATTCATATATAGTGGAATTATACGCTAGAAAAATAAATATATAATATAAAATTTTATTCACAATAATTTGCATATCGTTATGAAAGATATTTTAAAAAATTGCTTGGAATTTACAGAATAATTATACATTTCTAATCATTTGAGTTTTACATAATTTAAAATTATTTATATTAATTTATATAATATTTGCAGAAATAATATATTTTATTTGTTATAATAAATTGACGTATATTTTCTTATTATTATTGAGATAGCACTACGCATAATGGAAATGAAAATCATCATAAAATAAATTGATTATTTAACCAGAAATAATACTTTATGATGAATATAATTTATCTTTAATATTTATTTTAATGGCGCTTACATATCAAGAACATTCTTGAATTTTCTTTTTCTTTCTTTTCTTTAAATTGAGGAATCTCGAGGAAATATTTTACACCAAAAAATCGAAGTGTTACATATCAATAATCAGCATTTCTTCTAATATAATTAAATCTATTAAATTTATATTAATTATCATTTTTTCTTTGTACAAAAACAATGATAATTACGATTACAGAATGTTTATTAACGGTTATTTTATCTTGTAACTTTATACTTAATTAATCATAGATTATTTGTACGTGATAAATAATAAAATTTGATGCCAACATTATATAAAGCGTGGTTTTTTATCATTTTTTTTACACTTACTGACAGCTGTTTACAAATTAATTAATGACGAATGAAAAATATTTTTGTTTATGTACCTGGTACATAAACAAAAATACATTTTGCATGTGTCGTCACAAACAACGTGTCAAAAATAGTGAAGGAAACCACGTGTATAGCCTAATTTAAATACAGTAGAGCGTCGATTATCCGAATCAATTGGGGACTGGGGCTGTTCGAAAGATCGATGTTTCGGATAACCGATTATGTACGAAAAATATATTAATTTATCCTTTCTTGACATTTTTCTTTGTTGCGTGTCGCTTCGCGTTGAATTTTCATCGATGTTAAGCCTAACGAAGACTATTGTATCGTTAAAAATTACATTTTGAATTTTATACGAACAAAATAAATAAATTGAAAAATATAAAAACAATAAAAAATTATACTTCAGAAGTTAATTTAGTATGAAAAACGTAAAATATTTGAGTAGCCCAAGACATAGCCAAAGATTGCAGCGCCACAGCACTGGCGAAAATTTAAATTTGCCGACTGGAATTCTTTCGGATAATTGACTTTCGGATAATTGAAGCTCTACTGTATTTCAAATGGAAGCTAGTGAGCTAGTAATTCAGTTATATAGTAATAAATAAATAAATAAATAAATAATGCTTTTATGTTGTGTATTTATTTAATTATAATAACAATAAACCTATAATTCGTATATTATTTTCTAGAAAATGCTTATTTTATATAGAGCATTATTTTAAATCAACATTACAAAAGCGAAATAATTACACTAATTAATAAAATGACGATACAATTAGATATTTGATGTTATGCCCTAATTACAATACTACAGTAACAAGTATATTAATGTATAAATAAATGAAAAATAGAACATTAAAAATTAATTTATAAATAATTAAATTTTATCGTATTTTTATAGAAATGTATAGAATTTTTTATATAAAGAATAATAATAATGCATTATTTGAAAATGGACTTACACCGCAGATAAAAAAAAACAACACAAAGTAAGCTGAATAACATTTATTTAAAAAGAAAAAGATTGAAGTAATGCAATACAGTATTTAATTTTCTATTTTAGACATTAATTAGACCACGTTACACACAAAAAAAAATGAATTATTATTAAAACATTAATTGCAAGTGAAAAATATTGTTTTGAACTTATTTGTAAGTGGGATTAGATTTTACATTACTAACCAATGTTAATTCACTCTTGAGAACTGAATCATGATAATACTATAAGTGAGAGTTACACTAATAATAGTTAAAAACAGATTGCTATCCACATAAAATAAACCCAAACCGGAAAATTTCGGCAAATCTTGAATGGCTCTCATATAAAATTGAAAAGATTTCTCATGTTGAGAGTTGTCATTGTTATCAATAGATTCCTTGTAAATGATATTTAGTAGATTTTTGGCTTCTTTGGTTACATTCCGAGAAGAAAAACAAACTTCTGAAAAATATTAAAGCCAACGAAATGTGTAATATATAGTGATAAAGAGGTATTCACAATATTATTAAGAAGTAAACCAAGATTGAAAATAATATTACAACTCACTAACATTGCCCATAAAAATAACATTGGAGAATAAGTTGATTGTATATTATTTATTATATCTATTAATTTGGTGTACTTACTCATTGCTAAATTAATTATTTCTTTTTCACCCTTGTGATTAAGTATTGTCATATTTAGAAATTTAAAAGATTTTTCGATCTCTTTGCATACCGAAGAAAAGAAAAGTAACAGGAAATTATTTTGTATAATTATAAAAAAGAAACAAGAACATACAATAAAATATAAAATTATATTATCCAAATTATAATTAATAAGTGAAATGTGAGTATCGATCAATTTAAACTTCATTTCGTAACGATAAAAATAGCAAATTCCGAATAGAATCACATTATTTATCCAAATTAAAATACATTTTAACAAAAGAAACTTTTTCTTATTCTTTTTATCACACTGTACGATTTCATAGATATTTTCGATTTCACTTAATATTTTCTCTTTTTTAATGTGGAAATAATATAGAAATATTAAAAAGATAAGAAATGTGGCAGATAGGAACACGTATATAAAACAATCAATTGGCAGTGATTTATCTTTTGACATTTTTAAAAACGAAAAATAAATAAAAAATATAGGAAAGATTTTAGCTCCTAACAACATAAAAATGGTATTCAGAGAAAATTTCTTATCAAATTTTAGACCAAGTATAGCCATTGATATTATTAAGGGTCTGTACTCATCCTGAAAGGTTATTCTTTTGTTAGAACTCTTTCCAAATTCTTCATCAAGTCATAGTATTCCAATGCAATTCATAACGCTATAAACAAAAAATTTAATAAAAATTGTAGAAATTTCCAAAACCAATTTATAAATATTATACGTGATATTCAATTGTATTTACCTCTTTGTCAAATTGTATCTCACCAGAGAATTTTTTTCGATATTTCTTTTTAAATCATTTAACTAATGGAACCAAAGCGATTAATTATCAAAGAATCTGTTAATATATTAATAAATTTCCTTTAACTCACCACAACCGAGAAGCCTTTCAACTCTCAAAGTACAGTACTTCAAAGAACTTCAGCTTTTTGCTATTCCCGTTGGTTGTCCATCGTGTAATATGAGCGATAATGAATTCTAGAAAATTGATCGAATAAGTCAACTTAATTTATTAAAAGTCCTGGGAGTCAACGTGTTTGTAAATACTTTTCGTAATTTTTCGAATACAAAATAAAAGCTAATATAATTATCATTATACGCGGATAGGAAAGAGAGTTGACTTTACCAAAAAATAAATATTAAAAAGTGAAGTTGAGATACGTAAATATTCTTAACGACTGTTTTTATTTTACGATGAAATAATGATTTATTACCTCACACTATCGACACGTCAACTTTATTCTGTATTGTATCTATCATACGCTTGTTTGCCAATAAGTGTTTCGGATTTCCATCACTCTTCAATTGGATAAAATGCAAATTATTATTGTCTTTATCGACTTTTATAGAAATTTATTTTACGTAGCTTGATGTGTGATTTTCACAATCATCTGCATTTTGCTTTTTTTCATAAAATTACATTAAGAAAAACCTTCAATTTAGTTATATCCTGTAAATTGTTATCAGCTAACATTATTATAATACAAGTTATTAAAACTAAGAAATTTAGCAGTAATAAAAGTAACGGAGTTTAGAGATGTTGCGGCCGAAGTTTTCATCTTTACAACGTGAACGTCGAATGTCGAGCGCCGTTATCTTGTAAGCCTAGAAGTTTGATATTGGCATTTGAAACATTCATCGTGACCAGTACAAATTCAACTTAAACTTCTACATTTTTCTGTGTTTTGGGTTAAAATTATGGAATATTTTATTAATAAAATAATGATTATTTAAGAATTTATATATAACATTATAAAAAACAGACAATTTTAATCCAGAAATTATCTAATTATTCAATTTTTTACAAGTGATGTGAAAATTTCTATAGGTGTGTTCATAAAATAGCTTAATAATGTTCATAATACTGTAGAAGTTGTAAACATTGTAAAATAGTTTAATTTATTTATTTACCCTCGCTGGTCACGTACGTCATTCTTGAGTACAATGAGTAACTTATACGGCTAGCAGAAGTATATGTCTGACGTCTGAATTCATCAGACGTCAGACGTGTACTTCTGCTAGCCGTATAAGTTTGAAGTTTCGACTTCGGTTGTATCTAATAATGAAATTTTTTTAACTTTAATTGAAACAAAGAGGAATAGCATTATACAGTTAGGAAAAGTTAATTGTGTAATTTTTAAACAGGATATATTTATTTGATTTTTCAAAATTTGCGAAGATTAGTAATTGTCGAAATATAAAACAGCTAACAAGTAAAGATTTTATATCATCTTAATTTTTGTTAATAAATTAAATTATAGAAATTTAATATTACTTGGTAATGTTTATACGCGCTTTCTGTCTAATTACTTATATAATTCTTTTCTTCGTTTTGGACGTTCTTGTGAACAGGATTTCTTATACTCAGGGAAGAGAAACATAATTTACAATTAAAATATATTTACTGTACAAGATTACGTTACAGTAAATATACAGTCGACCTCTCTATAACACTGTTGATAATTCCGTTTTATAAGAATTCCACGTTGTACGAGTCACTTAGATTTTACAAATACGTGAGCCATTTACAGCCCGGCACACGTATTTGTAAAATCTAGTGACTCATACAACAAGGAATTCATATAAAACGGAATTATCAATAGTGTTATAGGGGGTCGACTGTATTTTAATTGAAAATTGTAGGCTATGTTTTTTCCCCTCAGTATAACAA